CGCTACACAAGGGATAAACAGGAAATAATCAGCAGAGGAAAGGCGCAGGAATCACAGGGAGTTGGGAAAGGTGGCCCATAGGAGGTGGGAGTTTAGCTGGAACATAAAGGAAGTCGGGGGGGGCAGGGTTGACAGTCAGAGGGGAGGAGGGAGAGTGAGGCAGACACGAGGGACAGACAGAGACAGAGGGTGTTGTTCATCAAACAGCCAAGGGGTCAATGTCAATGGATCGAGGAGTAAGGTGTTAAGAAGAGAGGGCAGACATGAGGAAGCAGGTGAGGAAGGGCTCCGAATGCCAAGCACAGCATTTTGTATTTAATGCTAGAAGCCATAGGGAAAGAGCAGGCGGTGGCAGCAGGGCCACCCATTCTCTTTTTGGGAGGATGACAAGAGATTCAAGGGGCCAGTGTTTCCACAAAGAGGTAAGCAGGGTGACTGAAGGCAAGAAGCCTGGACAGGGCCCAGAATCCTCTCTAAAACACTGGAATCAACACGGGTGCTTGGAAGTCAAGCTAGAATCTCCTGTTTAAACCTGCAGGGGCATTTGGCAGAGCTAACTTGGAAGCCGGCCCTGGGGTCAAGGGCGCAGGTCTCTGTAGTGAGCTGAGGGCAGCACCCCTGGCACCGCAGCTCGCTCCCTTCCCACGGCGGGAGCCTCACCCCTTAGGAACGCCCTCGGAGGAACTGCTGCTTCCCTTGATCCTGCGGGTGCTCATTTCCTCACTTACCTCACCAGAGTTAATGAGAGTGGAGAATATGATAGTATGGCCCCCGGGCTACTGTTTCTTCCCTCGCTGCACCTGGAGAACATAATCTCTGTATTCTTACAGGAAGGTTTGATCAGACACATCCTTTCCCTCCCCAAGATGATTCCCAGGCCAGGATAAGCAAATGTAGTCAGAGGTAAACAGGACAACGGAACCAGGATTTCACCCCAGATTCACACCTGGAATTTATACGTTTCCCACTGGCAGCTCAATTAATTTGGGGCAACAATGAGGAGGGGGAAGAAAAGGAGAGGAAGCTCGGGCAGGACAATAAAGAAAGGGCTGCGCCAGCATCGCCTCAAAGGACGAAGGCCTTCTGTGATTTCCCCAGTCCGAAACAACCTTCCTCAGACATCACAAAGCTGGCTCTTGAAGAACTGAGAAGCTTATCTGTGCTGATGCCTTATGCCCCAATAACACCATAATCTCTATGATAACACTAATCTTCCTAAGCATTGTATGTGCCCTCCCCAGCCCCAGCCACCAGCACAGTGCTCTGCACACAGTCGGCACTTAGCAAATGTAGTGTGGTGTTGAGTTTCAACGAGCTGAACTGACTGCAGATCGCCATCATCTGGACCATCTTAAGGACAAAAGCAAGTTTACCTGGGGTTTAAAGCGATTTTTAAAGAGACATTTATTAGGGGAAGAATGAAGTACCCAACATCAGGCAGAAGCTGCAGGGCCCACCTCTCCCTGGAATCCCTAGGGAATAGTGCGAGTCAGCCCAAGATCTCAGCTACTCCTGACTCCACGTGCCACGGTGATAACCAGCAAACCTGATCCCTAAATCCCTGTCGACGTGTAGCCCAGCCAAGCCTTCTATGACACAAAAGTCAAAACAGTCTCCGTGATTCAAATGGGAAGGGCAGAAATGGGGCAAGAGGAACCACAGAAGGCTGTGAGAGATGATGGGCACTTTTCTAGAGGGCTGGCCAAAATCTTCTTTCTTTCCCTGGGTGTCCCCTGGGTGTTCCTGGCCCCCTCCTCCCCATTCTCCCAACGTCCTCTGTTGGTCACCTCATCCACTCACGTAGGCTGAACATCATCGCTATGCATTTCCTCATTTACCTCCAGCTCCAAGTCAATGTCACCCATGGCACGTTGCCCACTAGATCAACCACAGGCTCTCAAACTCGACATTGCCACAGCTGACCTGATGCACTTTTTCCCAGTGCCAATTCCTCTTCTAAACTTCCCTGTTCTCACAGAGGGCACCACTATTCTTTGGTGCCCAGGTTCTCAACTTCAGCTCCAACCTCAACTCCTCACTCTTCCTCCCCCTGTACCCAGTCAGTGGCCAAATCTTAATCGATCCTGTGTCCACAAAATCTCTTGCGTCTATCCCATTCTGTCTCCTCACATGGCCCCCTTTGCCCCAGTTCACCTCACCCCCAGACTACCACCATTTCCCAACTGGTCTTCCTGCCTCCAGTTTCTCCCTCCCCAATGGATCTTGGTACAGCTCACAACACATAAGTCTGACCATCTTCTTCCCCAGTGACTCTCTACTGCCCCTGGCATCAAATCTAAACTCCTCTGGCCTGACATTTCCAACTCGTTACAACTTGAATCGAACCTACTTTTTCCAGCTTTATTATAAATTATTTTCTACCCTGCACTTCATAGTGTAAACTAGCCTTCTTAGTGTTTCACATACGACACTCCATTTTCCAGCACTTAACACAATGCCTGAGATGCAGCAAGTGCTTAATAAGTGCTAGCTGACTGACTGACTTCCCTTTGCTGCCCCCTCCCAGAATCCACTCCTTCCTCACCTCTGCCTCTTAGAAACCCTTCTGCCCAGTAAGACTCAGGTCAGGCACCCCTAGAGTTCTACATGAACCTCCTCCTGATCTGCACAGCTGCCAGTGACCTCCTAAAATTACCCTGTACGTATATTCCATATCTACTCCTATATGCACATCTGGTTTTCTCCAAGTAGAATATAAGCTCCTGGAAAGTAGGGATTCTCTCACTTTTGCATCTGTATCCCCAGAGCCTAGCATGGCACCTAGCACAGAGCAGACACTTAACAAATGCTTGTTAACTGATTGATTCTTGAAATTGAGACTGTCCGAGGAATGTGGGATGATATGGCTATTGTACCTCAACAGCCCATCTCCTCAAATCACAGCAGGTGAGCAAATGACAGAAAGGCCCACCAGAAACCAAAACATTCAGCAGCACTTCTGTGGCAGCAAATAACCTGAAACAAAGCGGGTCCCCATCGATTGTAGAACGGCCAAACAAAACGCTGTAGGGGAAACGCAATGGAAGATTATCGTGGAATAAGAAAATGATAAATGAGGCATTCTGAGAAACATGGGAAGACTTGCATGATCGGACGCAAAATGAAGTGAGCAGATAAACAAGAGAACTAAGTAGATACAATAACTACAAGCATCTAACTAGATGCTAAAAGGAAACCAAACTACGAATAATACATAATAACCCAACCTGGTCCCAAAGAACAATCAAATCTAGCCTCCTCGAAAAGGAAAGACAAGGAACTGCCCAGAGCAGAATGTTGCATTCCATCACGACACTGGGCTGTTGTTTTGTTTTGTTTTTTTAAATTAACTGTGTTTCTTTGTTACAAGGGGAGAGTTCATGTCAGGAGTGGAGAAGGAATAATATCCAGAAACAGCTTTGAATAAAAATAAAAAGCATCAATACAACTTATCAAAAAAGGAAAAAGAAAGAAGTAGAAAGGAGTGACGACCTCTATTTTGAGCCATTCACTTTCACCCTGTAAGAGGGAGCCACTTCTCAGGTCAGAGCAGTGCGACATGGGAGAACGAACCCAAGGAGACAAGTGGGAGGGTCTGAGCTGCACTTCTGGCTTTGCCACTAGCAAGCTGTGTGACCATGGGCAAGTTCCTTCACCGATTATTTCTGCCTCTATTTCTTAAATAATGTAAAATGAGGTAATTATGCCACCTCCCTGAGTGACTATATAGGTGAAACAAAGCGACAGTGACAAAGATCACTCTTCCGGTAAGGAATTATGCCCGCTGACTATTCGTCTCCTTTTTCACACACCACTCTGGCTCTACTCTGGCGCTCGTGACCAGCTCCACCAGTGGAGACAAGCAGCTTCTACCAAGCTGGGGAGGCTTCACACACAGGCTTCCCTGCATTCGGAGAGCTCAGTGCAAGACAAGTGGCTACAAGGGACTTTTTTTTGGTGGAGTGGGACACCACAATTCATTAAACCATCTCCCAAGACAGCCCACGTTGGTGGGAGCAGGTGTGCCTAACCCGAGGAGCTGATCTTTTGAAGGATTTCTTTTCCCTAATCTGCCATAGAGGCCAACAGGCAGGACACTTCCTAAGAGTTGGCGAGCAAGACCGAGGAGCAAGAGAAGCTGGAGCTTTTCCCAAACGAGACGAGGTACAGTAACAGGAACGGAGAGTTCGTGGCATAACGTGTTCCGTCAGGTAAAGGAGGAGAGTTTGTAAGTCCACAATCTCTCAGCTACATTAAGACTTGAGGATAAAAGCTGACATTGCCACTGGACTGTTTGAGAAGTTTCTTGGTTCTAACCATCCCCAAATGGAGCCCAAAATGAATGCCAGCACTGAAACCAAATTAGGAGGAGAAATATCAGAAAAGTAATTCCATCCCACAATGAAGAAACATCTTCAAAGAAGACATCATTATAAAAACACCACAAAAGTATTTTCCCGTCCATTCCAGACCTCACAGTGACGCTCAGAGAAGAGGCTCCAAGCATGAAACCCTGAATCCCTGCTCGGCCACGGAGAGGTCCCCCGAAAGGGGAGCTTCCAACCCCAGCCCGGGCTAATAACTCCTTCCTTACTCAGGTCGGTCATTTGCAAAGCAATGCCACAGACATTATCTCCTTGGATCCACCCAAGAAACCTGGCAGCCACACAAGGCAGATAGTGTTGCCTCCCACCCAACGGGATTTGTTTTGTTTTTTTTTTAATAGGGAAATGAAAGGAAACTCAGAGAACTATGATCTCATTTGAGCCTGGGTTCTAGGTCCCAGAATACAGCGTCTCTTGCTGCAAAGCAATCCTCCTAATTGAGAGGAAAAGAAACAGAATGGTCTATATATATCTGTAATAGATATTGGCTGAACTGAACTGAATTAGGGTGGGGTTAGGCAGGGAGCAGTGAGAACCAGGCATCTTCAGGCACTGGGGTTGGGGGCAGAGAGGAAACAATCATTACAAAGAGAAAGAAGAAGCCAGGGAGTTTACCTTAAATCTCTTCTCTTGGTGAACTCTGCAGGTGGGATAGTCCAAGGCAGGCACTGAGGGAGGCATTCCAGAACTTCTGGGGAGAAATCAGAGAAATCCACACCATACTCCATCAAGATGCCCTCCGTTTCAGGTTCGATCTCACCAGCCTGGCCCAGGCTCTTAGCCAGATGCCTATGGACAGGATACAAGGGAAACATGGGTCATCAGGCAGCAAACGAGGACCACGTGAGCTAGGCTCATCCTCCTTTTCTAGATGTGGAATAAAACATGCCAAGTCCCCTCACGATCCAGTCATTCTCAACAGAACCAAGGTCACCAAAGGTCTGGCCCTCACCCAAGGGATTCAAAGCCCATCCCAGGATGTGAACCTGTGCTTATTCTAAGAGGTAGACTCCCAGAGCATCTCATTTGAGGAGCCTGAGACCCAGGAAAGGGAAGGGCTCAAGGTCACAGAGTAAGAGAATTAAAAACCACATCTCCTGCCTCTCAACCTGATGCTCTTTCCACTTCTTCATTCTAGGGCAGAGGTATTAACTGAGAGTCTGAGAACTTGGATTAAAAAAAATTTTTTTTCTAATATATCTGGCTTCCTTTGTATCCTATCGATTTTATCTTATACATTTAAAAGCATTCTTCTGAGGACCATGGGCTTCACCTGATGGCCCAAGGGTCCATGACACAAACATCATCTAAGGATAATGTTACTAAGCCGTATTGTTTGAGATCTCTCAACCTGAAAAATGGGCCCAGATCCTTCAACTGGATATAAGATACCCACAGCTGCTTCTCAAGGAAATTTCAAAATAGCTTGTGCTAAAGGCTCTGTGCAAAAATGTCTTTCTCTTCCATGCTCCACACGGCCATGCCACACCTTTGGAAAGGTCCCCGTGCTTCCAGTTGGCTCATCAATAGTAAGTGTAAGAGAGACCAGACCCATGAGCTGGGCCTCTAGATGGGATCTGATGATGATAATATGCAAAACTGATTCCGACAACTGCTGCCATGCAGTCCTGCATCTCCTCTCACGTGACTCCTTGCACTGGATAGCTGTCACCCCCATGACCCATGCTCTCTAGTCACCCAACCTTTGCTCAGGTCTGGGGATTCCTCCTCCCTGGTGAAATACCATCCCATCCTTTAAAACTCAACTTGAATGCCACCATGTCCACGAAGGCAGCTTGACTCTCAAAACCTACTCAGACTTGCCAGAGAACTTGACTTTGTTTACACACGATGTTAAACGTGGTCACCATCTGTGCTGAGTTTTTGTCTCTCCCAACCAGCCACAAAATTTCATCAGAGCAGGGGCTGCACTGTCTTCTATGAACTTTGCTTTTTCACCAGCACCCTTCACAGTGCTCATAACTTCACCCTGCTCATAACAGGTTCTGAATAAATTGCTATTTTTGCCCAGAATGATGTCTAGTCCCAAACACCACACTTCACCTTCCCCCACATCTTGTAAGTGGGGAGCTTGAAAGAAAATTTAAATGTGGGATTTTATGTTTCTTTCTATTAAATTTAATCTTATCAGATTCAGTCCCTCATTGTAGCTTGTCAAGATTACTCGGAATACAAATTCTGTTCTCCAGCATCTTGGCCAAACCCACCAGAATGCCCCCAAATACTGCTCAGAAGATGCTTTATCATCGCTTTCCCTCTTTCTTCCATTGTTTCAGCCTCTTTTCCAGTCAGGTTCCTTGGAGGAAGCAGCTTTCCCTAGACCACCCACCTCTGCCCTCAGGCAAAATTAAAACCCAGCCATTTTTGCCAACCAAAGAAATCCAGCTTTCTTTGGCAAATTGGGAGAGATAGCCAAGGAGCTTGAATAAATGAAACCTTCACAGAGAAAACAAAGGAAAACCAAACCCAAACCCTTATACTCTTTGTCAGAGGACTGGAACCTGTAAGAGTTAAGACTTTTCCCATGATTTCTATTAATCTACCTAGCATTCACATTGAATCATCAAATTTACATTGAGTAACTGTCAAAAGAAATATAATTTCCCATTAGGAAACCTTGGATCAGCACACTTTTTCTTGGTGAAGCTCTGTAAAGGCTTTGTAAAGGCTCTGTCATTTTAAGCCTGATCTTCATTAATCCAAGCTGGCAGTCTCTGCTCTGCCCTCCAGCTCCCAAATGGAGGAGCATTCTCATTCTGCTTTTCACAGTGAGTCCCTTACATTCTTCTTGGATAACTGACAACCCTGGCTCCTTTTCATGTTTTATCACACCCTTCCAAGCTCATTCGGGTGAGGGGGAAGAGGTCCTTTGCTTAGACAAATGAGTTTTGCTTCTAGCAGGCCCTCCTACAGAATCTCTATCTAGAACCTGGGCAAAGCACAGAAAGGATTTCCAAGTCCAGTGAGCGGCTTCTTCGTCAGTGCTGCATGCTAGGACAAAGAAAGACTCTGCACACCCTTCTTCACACACAAAGTACACACAAAATCTCCGTGGTTCCTTCATGGTATCTGTCTCACAAACAGTCAGGCCTTTAGCAGCAGGGTCTTGTTCCTGGCACTAATTCACTAGGAAGATCCCATGCCTTATAAACAGCACCTAATGTTCTAGTTTCTCTATTCAACAGGTCAATGGCTCAAGCAATCAATCAGTCAATTATCTATATGGAATCTACTATGGGCCAAGCAGAGGCAAACATGCAGCAGTGCCTCCCCTCAAGAAGCTTACATTCTATCAGGGGAAACCACATATTTGAAGATCACCATATACCAAAAACACAAAAAAGCACAAGGACATGAGGCTTTGGCTTCTCTGGGAATTGCCTTCATGAAGACTACAACCCACCTGCAACTTCGTACACAGCCTTCTACTTAGAAGGGGGATAAAACTTGCAAGTTCTCTATGAAGGCTGCAAAGGGACAGGGGAGAGCAGGGCTTGAAATCTCTGATAAAGATGAGGAATTGTGATACAATAACGTGATGTGTGTATGAAAATCTGAAATAGAAGTTGTGAAGGCTCCAGAAAAGAGTTTTCTTCAGTCCATGGGCTAAATAAATGATTCAACAGCTACATCTCCACGACTTGCTGGGTTACTGAGAACCAAGCCAGCATACCAGGAAAGTGCCTTACCATAGGGGAGCATCCAGGATTCCCATTTCTGAGCATCTATCCCCTCTGCATCCCCCAGAGAAGGTGTGGACCTCTCCTAGGGTGAGGCCATCACTCAAAGCAGGAGCTGGAATGTCAGAGTGGGAGGAATTCCTGTCTCCTCACCTTCCAACACCCCGATCATTATATTGCATGAAGCAAGAATCGGACACTGGTAACCTCTACACTACTCTCTTTCTTTTTTCTGTACTAATAGTATTCACATACTAAACCAAAATCATAAAAAACCAAGGAAAACCATATAAATGTCCTCACTTAAACCCACTGCAGGAACACGAAGATCCCGGCCTGGCTCCCAGCCTCCCTCTGTGGTGCTGAGGTTGTTCAAGGCTTCAGGGCAGTGGCAGCAGCTGGGAAGCTTGACCATCCATCCCCAGACCTATCCAGGGGCCAAGCACTGAGAGGCACACCAACAGGTCATTCCGGAGGCCAGGATTCCAATGCATCTACCTGGTTTCTAAGGATTCCTGCCCTCAGCCACAAACCCCCCCCCCCCCCCCCCGATTCAGCTCCAGAAGGAAATGTCTCCTTCTCTGAACTACACGAGGAATGTCTGCCCTTGGCTCAAGGTTTCCTGCTGGCTGAGCCTGCTTAGAAATGTCTATAGCTGATTCGGTGCAGTCCAGCTCAGTATTCTACCTAACCAAGATTGCAATCCTGAGTTCCAAAAGATACCTGCCATCAGGGTAGCAGGTCCCCTGACTGATCCCTCAGCTCTCTTTCCTTCCTCTCTCGTAGACTAGCCATCAAATGAAGAGAAGTCTTTTCCTGGGCCCAGGAAAGCACTACTTAAATAACCAAAGGAAAGGTCAGGAAATCAAAAAGATCTCATCAGCCTACACAATTTGGCACTGTGGTCAGAGCACCACACTTGGGATTCGAGAGGGTTCAGATCTGAAATCTCAGCTTGGACACTAATCCTATGACTTACAGTCACCAAAACTCTGAGAACCTCCTTTTCATTTGTAAAGTGGGGATCATAACAGTCACACTACCTAGCTCACAAGACTGTTGTGAGGAATTGCTTTATAAACTTGTTTTATGGGAACATGATTTATCATCATTAGCTCACAAACTTCCTAAAATAGCTAGACTAGGTAACATGCCCTTGGGCAGACCCTGTCATGATTCCCCCAATATCTGAGAATAAAGTGTTCTGACCTGACCCAAGAAGATAATGAAATCTTTATTCCCAGAACAGCACACCAGGAGATCTGGGTCAGGCACTCTAGGCAAACTGAGAAAGGACTTTTCTTCTCTCATCTCCCTTATCCTTCACAACAAGCAGATGGCCTAGTCTCTTTTTCTAGTTTTTTCTTTTTTTAGTTGTATGCCCAATTCATTGATCTCCTCTTTTTCTATTTTATTTATGTAAGCATTTAGAGATATAAAACTTCTCCTAAGAACTGCTTTTGCTGCATTTCTAAGTTTTGGTATGTTGTCTCATTATTGTCACTCTCTTGAATGAAATTATTGATTGTTTCTATGATTTGTTCTTTGACCCAATCATTTTTTAGGATTATTTAGTTTCCAATTATTTTTTAGTCTATCTTTCCATGGCCCTTTGTTACATATAATTTTTATTGCATCATGATCTGAAAAGGATGCATTTAATATTTCTGCCTTTCTGCATTGGATTGTGAGGTTTTTATGGCCTAGTACATGGTCAATTTTTGTGTGTGTGCCATGTACCACTGAGACAAAAGTATATTCCTTTCTATCCCCATTCAGTTTTCTCCACAGGTCTATCATACCTAACTTTTCTAATGTTCTATTCACCTCCTTAACTTCTTTCTTGTTTATTTTGTGGTTAGATTTATCTAGTTCAGAGAGGGGGAGGTTGAGGTCCCCCACTAGTATAGTTTTGCTATCTATTTCTTCCTGTAACTCCCTGAACTTCTCCTCTAAGAATTTGGATGCTATACCATTTGGTGCATATATGTTTAGTAATGGTATTACTTCACTGTCTATGGTGCCTTTTAGCAGGATGTAGTTTCCTTCCTTATCTCTTTTGATAAGATCTATTTTTGCGTTTGCTTT